CTAATTTCCAGTCAAATATATTGAGAGAGGCAGATAGCTAAAATGAAAAAGTAGGTGTATTTAAAGTTTTAAATTGTAAAGTATGCTTCCACTTACCTTACGTTTCTCAAAAACTAATAAATATGTAATGCATTTATTTTTCCCCTAAAGATTTTATTTTCTTACCTCTTCAAAAAACAAACAAATCATTAGAAGCTTTTCAACAAAAACTTTATTGACGAGTGCAACTACTCACCATTATGTGTTTATTCTTTATCTTTGTTTACAAGTTTATTATAGAGTGGTTGTGCATAATTGTAAGGACGTTTATATTTACTTAAAGTACCTTTGAAATGTTTTATCACAGTGAAAGAAAAAAATACAAGCATGTATTTATTTACTTCTCAGTCATTTATACTTGTCTAAAAAGTTCAAGCCTGCCTTCAGTAATCCTTAGAGTTTACAGGTATTTTGTGCAGCCAGAATAATAAAATGCAGTTGTGAATAACTGTTAACTTTTATGCCTTTTTCTTTTTAGTCAAACCGAGTAAATCAGCATCAAAGTCATGTCCTTTCAACTACAAACTAAAATCTTCTCAAGTGTGGAATGCAGACGTGTTATTGAAACAATGATGGCAGAAATGTTGGACAAATAAGCCTCCATGCAGGCTGCTTGTGTTGTCTCTCACAGCTGTGTGTGTGGTTACTATGAGGATGTTTGTATTCAAATCTTCTCTCTTCTTGTTGATTTTGTTTTATGTATTTTTTAATGAATTCACTGCATTCTTCAATTTAGCTTGGGTCTCTGTATGTATTAGCGAGTTATGTTTTCAGATTTTCTATAGTCTTGTATTTTTTGTTTTGTTTTGTTTTTAATGAATTCAGTGCGTTCTTCTGCTTTAACTTAGGTGCTAGCGGGAATTAGTAAGTTCTGTTTTAAGACAAAGCCGTGCGAGGCTGGCTCATCATGTTGGTTTCGAGGAGGGCTTGTATTTATAAGATGATTAGAGCGCTTATGCTTCACCCTGGGTGACTGAGGTCAGACTAGTTCATGTCTATTTCAAGGGGCCCTTGTAAAATGATACGAGTCACTGACAAGATAAAATAACCTCTGGTTGGGGGGAGGAAAAAAAGGCACAGGTGGCAAAACAAACCATTTTTCTGTGATGTTGTGAACATTAAACAAGTGCGGCGTGCCCTTTTGTCTGAACGTTAATGTCAGTCTTGACATGCCATTCTTGACTGTGCAGATGTGTGACCCTGCAAACGCTGCTCATTGATATTCTTGTAGAAAAGTGTCATGAACGCTTTTGGGAAAATTCTTCCCCCCTTGTTCTTTTCACTCATGAATATAGATGGAATCCACATGTGTTTTGAATTTGTTTGAAGCAGATCAACAGGCTTACAGATGATACTCTTAGCTATTGTTAGTGAAGGTTCAGGGGCTTTGTACGACATTAGTTAGTCAGATTATGTGTTGTGTACTGACAATCATGAAGCGTTTCATCTGTAATTGCTCAAGCATAATGTTTGCCTTCTCAAAGTGGGTCACTGTGAAGAGAGATTTAGATCCGTGCAGTTCCTGCTATACAGAGAGTGTGGGAGCTGAATGAAACTGTAAACATTTGTGAAATCAAACGCAACAGTTTTTCACTCTGACCTTTTCATATATTACATTTTTCTACTCAGGTGCATACATCTTTAAAGAATTTAATGGAGCAATATCATGTAAAATCAACTTTTTTTGGCTTTATATGATGTTATAACTTTATCCCCTTATCAAAAGCATTCCCAGAGTCTTGCTTTGACTCATTCATGCATGTTTGAGAAATCTTGTGCTGCCCTGAGGTAGCCAGGCAGGGGATCAAAAATGGGTGGTTGGCCCTTGAACCGCCTTTTAGGTGCAGCTCCTCCTCTGGGCTGTGTCTCCAGTCCTTTTCGGATCAAGATGCCTTTGAGGAAATGCATTTTCAGATGAGAAGGAGACTACCCTCTTTTTAAACTTCCCATGGATGACATGGTTCTTAGAAAAATGGTTGGACTTCAATTTTGGAAGTAACCCTCCCACAAAAGAAAAAATATTTATTTATTTGTGTGAGCCACTTTACTGATGAAAGCTTTCAGAACAAAAGGGAATTTAATAGTGATAATACCAAGATTATCACTAAAAAACGATGCAATTCCAACACTCAGAAGTACGCAAACACCTTTGCTGACTGGATAAGCTGAAAAACAACTCACGGTGTTTTGTTCGGTTGTTTGGTCTATCTGTGATCTACAGTTAACAACTGATTGTGACATAGTTACTTTATGGTATAGAATTGAACTAGATGCCTGAGAAACACATATTTTGGCCCTTTAAGTTATTTTATAGAAGTGGTGAACTTCGTCTAGGTTTAAATCGCTTTTTGTCTTTATCAGGTGTGTTGATTTAAGCAGGTCGTTTTTTCCCTTTTCTCTTTACTTTCCAGGTTATCCTTTCCACATATGTTTTAAATATAAAAGGTTAACAAAAAGATAACAGAAGAAATCAGCCCTTTCTAATTAAATCAGTTAGTATTAGCGGGAAATGCGTGATAGTAGCAGATAGTGCTTCAATATGCAAAGTAACCAACTATATGTGCATTTAAAATAAATAGAGAAAGAGCAATTTAAATATCATAGATATCATAAGTATTTACCTGACTGGTATTTTAATAAAGACACAGTCCAACAAAAAATGAACAACACAGATTTAGATCCAGTTTCCATGAGATGCTGTTGCCTCTTTCCTGATCTTTTGGAAACGGACAGAGATGTTTGTTTTCGCTTGAGTTTTTTTCAGCTCGTTCTGTTGATCTTTGCTAAGTTGGTTATTTGCTAAGAGCCCGTTTATTCCTCATGGTGATATTACTGTGATAAATATTGGATCACACAACAAACTATCTTCAGATCAGCTCTTCGCTGGAGTCACGTATACTGTAACATTCAAACATTGTTCTCCTTCTTATCAAGATAGGCCAGCTACATATACAGTACATGACCATCATTTGAGTCTCAGCTTACAGTTTCATTGTTTGGATGCAGTTTCATTCATCTATTTTCATTTGTAGCTTTCACTCAGAACAGATGTGCAAGTTTTCAGAAATGTAGACATACTTTTCTAATTACAATATTGTCATAAGAAATAAATGATAATATCTATGCTTATTCAAGAAAACATATCTAAATTTCACATAAATGTTATTAAATAATTAGACATATTTTCACATTTTTTTCTTCTGGAGATCCAAGTAATTTTCACATTTCACAATTTAAAAGTTTTTTTATTTGCTTCTGCAATGGCTATTTATGAAACTTTTGCACGACCAGCAGCAGATCTGTGGTGGTGTGCAAGTTTTAAATAGAAATTCTAAATAATTACTTTTAAGATTAATTTATTCTGTATCTAACATCAAAGCTATACCATGTTTAATTAAAAGTAAATGCAGAAGTTCTTTAAAGTAAAAAAAATACTATGTGTTGCAAGATGTTGGCGCTATAAGAAATCTGCTTAACTAATAATGGGATAAACTACATAAATTTACACAAATAAATGCAGTTTAGTTGAACTGATAATATCTGATGCTCTCCTGAAGTGATTGCTCCTCTTTGATAACCTCTCCAGTTGTGGCATCAAGTGTCACTAAAATGGGAATGTTTGAGAGTAACTTTCTTTGGCAGGAGACTTCAGCAATGAAGAAAGTCCTTATTGTTTCTCTTAGAATAGTAATTTTTTTGTCTAGTGAGTGAATAAGTGCTCAACTTCAGAATATTTTACTCATAATGTTGACTGTGAAAACAGTAGCAATTTATAGAGACAGACTTTGATGTACTTTGCTTTACTGGAAATATTTTTCCAAGACTACAACATGTTCCTGTTATTTATGTAGTAATTTAAAATAATTGGAAGGAGCAAGGAAGGGAAATTTATTTGTAACAAGATGAAAAGGTAAATTGGGCATTTATCTATGATGTACCGATGTAATTTATGATCAAACCCAGTGTTTAGATCTTTTAAGTGACATCTTTTAAACATCTATCCAAAGTTTGTCAGCTTAGTTGCATAGAAATAATATGTTCCGCCTCATTTATGTTTCATTAAATTACACATATTATCCAATTATTTCCTCGTGACTCTTCTCTTGCAGTATAGGCTCTATAATAACTTATTCACTCAAACATGAGGTTAAAACATGGTGATGTGAGTCTAAAGAAGATTTTTATTTTCCTAAATAAAAAAGAAACACCAGCATCTTGTCAGCATTTTACGTACAGCAGTCAAACATTATTACAGTAACTAATCTCCAAAATGTGAACAAGATAATGCATTTAAGCCTACATGGTCTCTAAAATGAGGTCACTAAACTGTTGAATTAAATGAGGAAATAAAATTGTTTGAGTGCATTGGAGCGTAGCAGGGAAAGCCATAATGTGGAATGGACCTATCATCGTAACTACTGCAGCATAAAAGCTGTGAAACATTACAGTACAATCAGAGTGTGGCTGCTTTAGATTTTTATGACTTCATGGTGTGAGAGAACAGTTTTGCCATCTTTTGTGTGAAATCAGCACGTGGTAGCACTTTTCTCCAAAGTGTGAGTGAGCAATTATTGATCATCTTGAAATGGCCTGACTTGTGATGATAAAGAAAATGAAATATGAGGTAAATTAGTTCATGTGAAGCTGAAAATCAACCACAATTCTAGAAAATAAAGCCTTTTACATGCAATTACTCTTATTTTTTCTTTTAATTTTCAGCATATTTAAAGTTGAAAACTAATACGTAACAATAAAATTGATTAGAGAAAAACACGACAGAAAAAAAGTGCGTTTGGCAGAGGATTTGAACTGTAATTCAGCAAGAATAATCAAACATGAACAAACAGGCAGATTAGGAAACGAGAGCTGTCTCAGGACGTGGAGTTACATCGTTGTTTTTATGATGTTTTCCAACGCAGGGAATTGTGACTCAGTGTTTGTGTCAATTTGATGATTTACAGAAAGCAATGCTGCAAGGGCTTCAAGTTTGTGATGGGCCACTGCATTCCTGAAGGTAGGAAAAACGTTTGGATGTGACGTGTTGTATGTGAGAATACTTTGTAAAGCCTGCCCAAAATGTCTCAGAGGCTTTGAGGTTTAGCAGCATGTGATAATGCTTAGCTTTCTTTTGTTAGCTGTTAAAAAAACTGTTAAATGATTGTCTTTTTTTACCGTCCCCCCACCCTCCATACACACACACACACACACTTTTGTTTTTGTTTTTTTGTTGTTGTTTTTTTTTGCAGACTATGACGTATGTGCTGGCGCCCCCTGTGAGCAGCAGTGCACTGACCATTTTGGCCGAGTGGTGTGCACCTGTTATCCTGGTTACCGTTATGACCGTGAGAGCCACAGAAACCGACAGAAGCCTTATTGTCTGGGTGAGACCTGATAGAAACACATAAGTACAATCATATAAGAATATATGCAATTTGAGCATCAAAATTCCTATTTTATCTCTATATATTACAGCTCACCCAGGGCAGTGGTTCTCAGTTATTTTCTATCATGGCCCTCCTAGGGAACTTAAAATTTTCCGTGCCCACTCTGAATTGAAATACTATGAGAACCTGATAATATTTAGTTAGTTAACTGTGCGAACCACTGTATGAGTTTCTGTCACCAGCATTCTGCATTAAATCACCTGATAATGGTAGTGGAAACACTGCAATATGCAAAAGAACAAGTATTATTGTTTGACCTTTTAAATTTGTTTATTTTTGCTGCATTGAATCATGAATTAAAATGTTTAAATAGATTTATTTTATTTTATTTTATTATTTTTATTTCAAGATATAGGTATCCTGATTTCCATTATGGTCCTTTTTTAAGACCTATGAATTCTTAAAAAAATAATAATAATAAATTTGAGAAGTATTGCCCCAGGGTATGTTACAAATAACCCAGACTATGAAGTAATGTTTTGCCACTTCAGTAGAAAACAAAAACTGAATGTTAGTTAATTAATTTCTGCATCATCAGTGGCGTTTTTTATAATACTATAGTAAGAAAGAAAAAGAAAAAGTAGAAGAGAAATATAAGAACAGTAAAGAGAGAAACTGATAGAAATTATACAACATGTGAAATGAACACCAATAACACACAGGACACCACACCCGACTATGAAATAATTTGTAACATTTTATTCCTTGTGTTTGAGACCGAACCATGCAATTTTTGTTTGCGTTGCAGAAATAACAACTACATCTTTTAAAAACAGACACATGTAATAAGTTTGCACCACAATTTGAAATCACTTCCTTTAAAGAGCTCCAAGCTACAGACAGAAATGTCAAATAAAGTTACAATCATCAGACAGCAGAGCTCCTAGGATCTTTCATTCACCATTCATTTAAAAAAATGTAATAAAACATAACTTTTGTGATTTCTTTTTCATTTCTCTTCCCTCCTTTTATTAGTGAATCTAATATGTTGTTATAAGTGTCTTTTTTTTCTGATTGCCTCTCTTCTTTTTCACTTCAACATCTAGATGTTGATGAATGTGCAGATAAAAACACGAGTGCATGCTCTCAGGTCTGCATCAACACTGCAGGGGGCTTTAGGTGCGAGTGTGAGAAAGGCTATTTCCTGGAAGAAGATGGAAAAACATGCACCAAGGGGGAGAGAGGTGAGCTTAGAGAGGTTTTCTCTTCACTCTGTCTTTTAAGGGCACATCTAAAAGGGATGTGGTGATGACTGCATGGCGTTAATGGTGCGTGTGTGTCTGTGTGTGTTAGAATGAATGAAAAAGGAGGGGGGCACTACAAACATAGGCACCTGGTAGCCATTAGACAGTCTTGCTTCATGTGTATGTCAGAACAGTTCAGTCACATAAACATACTGCTGCCCCATGACTTCTGGTCTTCTCTGGTGTGCTGGATTCATGTGAAGAAAACACAAAGGGTCCAGGCGATTAAAAACAACTTTTTGCCCCAGATTGAGTTGCCAGCAAAGCGGTGAGGGGCTACAGATTTGTTACTTCCTCCCATGAGAGGGTCTTCTGTTACTATAACATTACATACAAAACTAGAAAGTGAGAAACGGTGCTTTTTATGATTTTCCAGACCAGGAAATTAGAATTTAAACAGGTACAAGGAGTTGAGTCAGTAATACTCACATGAACTTGCCGCTACAATCGAGTTTACTGTATGTGGGATGAAATCAGCTCTTAGCAGATGAAAGAACTTGTACTATTCAGTCTCACATCTGATTATTTAGTCCCATTTAAGATGCCTTTTTTTAATTTTATTTTCCCCTAGTGTTGTCCCTTTTTCTATTAATTTGGGTGTTTTAAGGACGCAGTGAAGCTTTTTGAGAATCTCATTTGAGAAGAAACTGCTAACAATAGTGTAAAACAGCAACTCTGCCTCTTGGTGTTAACTCAGGGTTGTCACGTTTTAGATGATTATTAAATTTGTCCATAGATCTAAGAGCAGCTCCATTCAGAATGGGATGAATGCCATCGCTTCTATTCAGACCACATTTTTCAAAAAGGGTTCCCATTATCTAAGTTAACCTCATCTCGACTTTCTGAACATTTTCCAGTAATTTGTGTGACTTGAGCTTTTTTTCTTTCCCATTTCCCAGCAGTCCATCTTTATGAGAAGTGCGATAATTTAATGGATGCTGGAACTTGCTCAGCCACATGTGAAGATTTCCTTCAGATCAAGAAGTCAGTCCTGCAGTTAAAGCAGAAGGTATGAGAGCTCAACTTTTTTTGTTTCTTATAAAAAAAGAACAAAACCTCTTTTTTCTCTAAGCTGCTCTTATTTGAAATCTGTACTTTTTCTATAATGATTTGTTACAGAAGGACCAAGCCAAAGAGCCTTTTTAAGTTCTAGATTTGCTTTTTTGGATTCAGCAGGATCCACAAAACTATTATTTATCTTTATCACTTCCTATTGCTCAAGCTTTATGTCAGGAGTCCATGCCTGATAGTATTTCAGAAACGACAGCAGGTACATTTTTACAACTATCATGGGATATATTAATGTAGTTTAAAACGTTCTAAAAAAAGGAAATTTGAAAAATTTCCTCCTGCCTCACGGGCAGATTGTTTCATTGTTCATACATGTGAACTGGTAGGATGTTTTTTTTTTT